GGACGGGCGGTGGCAGGAGCTCGGTGTCGTGTCTGGATGTTAATGGGTGAATGACATGAGAGCTGGTGGGGCTCAGGGAGGGGACAGCTTGTCTCTCACGCGTTAAAAATCACCTGGAAGTCTTTACCTCCCCTCGGTACGTGCAGGAGTAATCGCTCGTAGAATCAGCGAGTGCAAAGGTGGGGAAGTGCGTGCGGTTTCCCTGTTCCAGCTTTTTCTGGCTTCGGGCAATAGCTGTGTATTCCAGCACGTAGAAGTGGCACAGCATGAGGAGCAGTGTGTCATCCCTGGCAGTGTTCAAGGCCAGGTTGGACACAGGGGCTTGGAGCAACCTGCTCTAGTGGAAGGTGTCCCTGCCCATGGCAGGGGTTGGAACTGGATGAGCTTTAAGCTCCCTTCCAACACAAACCAGTCTGGGATTCTATGGAAGATGGAAATAGCTGTTTCTTTTTAAGCCATGTGGAAATTTGTCTTTTCTGATTTGTGGTAGCTGCTCAACTGTCAGTCCATGTCCCAGCATCCCTTAGCAGCACCAGCCTTGCTGCATGCTCCTGCGGAAGTGATGGCTAGTGCAGCCTTCCCTGATGGGAAAAGCAGCAGGCACTGGTTTATTTGCTCTCAGAAGGGGTTGAGTTGAAGTGCACAGTGTTCATGCCTGACTGCACACAAGACGGCACCTTGGATGCCTGTGAATAAGCAGACTGGGAGACTTGTTCCCTGGGATAAAGCCATAGTTTGTGCAGGTTTTTGGATGCGCACCCAGGGCCTGGTGGGATGTGGCAGCCTTCCAGGCACCGAGGAGTTCATCATCTGAGCCTCGGCTCAATCCCAGAAGCAGGCAAGGGCCTGAATGTAAAACCATGCTGGGGGCTGATTAGGTGACTTCTTGGAGGGGGTTGAAGGCCAGTCACTGCTCAGATCCTCCACCCTGCTCATGCAGACACTCACGTACATGCAGCACTACGGTGCTGAGCTTTCTGCCACAGTTGCATAAGCAGATCCCAATGGACGTGCTTTCTAATGGGCATTTGCTTTGTAATAGTTTGTGTGAATTCGAAGTGCTGGGACAGAATAGGTTCTAAAGTCAGAAAAATGCTCTGGGGAGGGAGGCAGAGGAAGAAAACAGGTGGAGGAATATGTGGGTTAAGAGCCAGGACACTAATATATGAAGTGAGAAGTTTTACTCTAAAAGCTTTTCACTCTGAATCGTTAATTTATAAAACAACATAATGGCCATGGCCTCAGACAGAATGTTAAGACTATTTCAAACAAAATTTTGGCAATATTACAGCACTACCAGTCATTTACTGATGCAGCTTCTTTATGCTCTTGTTGTCTCAGGGCAGAAGTAGTGGTACAGGCTTGCCACGGTGCTGTAGAGTGCCATGAAATTACTCCTTCTTTTCCTCCCTAGAGATCCAGAGAGGACTGCCAGGTCAAAAGCACCACAGAATTGTAGATATAAGTATCCCACTTAAAAAGGAGGAGGAAAAAGACCTCATAAGGGAGCATTGAGAAGAGCAAAATGTCCCCCAAATTCTTCATTAAATGCACAGCAGGTAAAGCCTGAGTAAGTAACCACAAGGAGGAACGGTGGCCTGATCTTCAGGATACAGAGTCACTGAAAACCTGATACACAGTTGCTGGCTAAGTTTGAGTGACACTGGCCTATATAAGACAGTGCAAGTATTGCATTGCCAAAATCAAGAATGGCAAAATCATCACCAAGAAATTAGGTGACTAAAAGTAGTTTCTTTAGGAAATGCAAAATGATTGGTTTTGATAAGAGATTTCTATCTACTTGCTGTCCTATTCTGGAATGGTGAGGGAATGCTTGCTTTGTGGTTTGTAACTGCAAGTGTTAGTTCCCTGATAGTTACCACAATGTAGTTGAGTAAGAACCTATGAAAATCCTGTTTCTTCATAATAAATGTGAAGTAACTGGAAATTGCCTACCCTTCAAAAAGAAGGGTGGACTGCTTCTGTTAACTAGTAAGAAAGCGTACTGCAGAACACATGGGAACTTGCTCCTGGAAGCTGAGGTTTTTGTCTGAGTGCTGGGGGTCTTTGGGGTCTCCTAATTCCAGCAGCCAGGTCTCAGAGAAAGACTCTAACCTCAGAGCTGAGAAATAGAGAACTCCAGAGGTGGCTGTGCTGCCCTGCCTGGACACCTGAACCCACAGGTCTGTTTTGTCTGTAGAGAAGTGATCATTGCAATGCATGTGAGGAGGGACTGGTATATTGTTATAGCCTGAATGTGGTAAAACTGAAAGTAAGAAGGAAGGAATAAAGAGATAATGAAGATAAGTTTGGGCTACAGTCTAACATAGCTCTTTTGACTGCTTGATTGACAAGTATGTTGTACCAGGCTGTATTCACCCATGCAAAGTCAGCCAGCTACCCACCTGTGCCAAAAGCAAGTGCTGGAAAACTGTATTTCTGGTCCTAGGAATTAAAAGGTGATTGGATTAATACTTTAAAATCATGTGGGTTTAAGATCTGGTTGCATGGTCCTCTCAAGCCACAGGAGAAACCTGAGGACCACAGCCTGATTCTTAGTTTCACAATGTGAAAGGAAAGGATGCTTAAAGTGAGTTTTAGTTTTGTCTGCATCTGGAATGGTTAATATATAACTGAGTCAAATACATTTGACTAGCAACAACTCAATTTGTACTTGCATGATTAAAGAGTGTTTATCCTATTTATAAGTTTGCATTTATACAAGTAAACTAAAAGGGAGATTGTTGGGTTTGCCCTTCTCAGTTGGCACCCAGTGTATCCTATCTAGTTTGTTTTGTTTCATTGTGCAGGTTTCCTTGATGTTGTTCCCAAATAGTTAGGGAGTCTGACTCTTTAATTACATGAAGAAAAGCTTAAAAGCTCCCGTCAGAGGAGAACTGTGGCTGTACAATAGCTTTGTGTCAAAAGCATGCTAAAATTGTAGAATGGAAGGTGTAAATCTAGCTCTGCTCACACAGCTAGCACCAGGCTGATTCAGGAACACTGTCACCTGCTATTCAACTTATCCATTGTGCCCCTGGTTCCTTCTTAAATAAACAGGTTTAAAAGTGCTGCAAAGTAGCTACATTAAAGCAAATTGCTTGAAGGTGTTTTGAATGCCAGGCAGTGCTTTGCATGTTAAATACCAGCCTGGTTTTGTTTTATTGCTGCAGGACAAACAGAGCTTCTATTAGAAATACTACTCTCTACCTCAGAAAGTTTTTGTTTCCTGGCTTGGCTGCTATTAACTTTTCTTCCCCCCTCAGTTATCCCAGGGAAACCAGGCATTTGAACTCTGTGGTATTTGCTCAGCAGCTCTTTATTTACCACTTTGTAGCTCTGCTCCCTTCTTGTGTGTGCTGTTCTGCCATAGCCTCCACACCAGTTCCCATTCTGGCAGTGCCACTGAGCCCAGAATAAGCAGTATGGTGTGGCACAGGCTTGAAGAGCCATTTTCTGGTCCCAGTTAGAGTGTGCTCACATTCCCAGTCTCAGCATCCCAGCAGTGGAGGGAGCACAGTGGGACTTGCACATCTGTAATCTGCTTTAGGCCTGCTGATGGAAGCACTTTTTACTGCTATCTCAGCCTCACTTGTTTTTCTTACCTAGTTTTTAAGAAACCTGTGAACTGATGTCTCTTCTTGTTCTGTCTCTGCACAACACTGTGGAGTCACCCTTAGACCTTGTTTACAGACCTTCCTCCATTCAGCAGTTGACATCATTATCCTGAAGAATAGACTCCCTCATCCTCAGGGCCAGATCTTGCCTTTAAGTAAAAGCTCCTGGTATTAAAACTATCAAACTAAAGGGATCACAAAGTCCTTCCAAAAAGCAATCCCTGTGTACCAGAACTGGATGCTACAGGCCATTGAGAAAAACCTCTATTTCTGATCTTTCTTATGTTATTTTCCTCTCAGAAGCAGGAGGGGAAGTTAAGATATGGTATCTGAAGTAAGGAAATAGATACCAGTTGTGCCATGAGCATTCCCATGCAGATATATCCTGGCTTCAGGTTATGGTGAGTTTTGGAAGCAACCGTGCATGCAGCAGCTCTTGCAGCTTGGAGACTGCTTTAACTACTTTAGCTTCTTTTTGCCTGTAAAGTTAATAGGCTTAGATCAGTTTACAACTGAGGGTTATTAAGGCAGTGGTCAGCCTGTCCAGTTACAATTCCTTTTTGGAATTTTAAACTCTACACTAATGAAACTCCAGCTGAAAGAAAGAGCTAAGGTGCTTAAGAATTAATCTCTGCAAATCCAGTAGCCAGAGTTGAAATCCATACTAACAGGGGTTTAACTGTTTAACCTGGAACAATGAGTCCCTCTGACCAGAAGCCTCAGCTCTGGCTGTGCTGGTAGTGCAGCAGGATGGGGTCTAATGCCTTCTCTTTGTCAAGGCAAAGTTTGGGGTAAGTGGGCTGGACTGAATAGGTGCCACCCATATGTCTGATGCCAAGACTGAGCTGCACCAGGATCACAAACTGCACTATGGTGGGTCCTTGACATCCTGTTGTGGTTCCTTCTGAGCTAGCCAATATATTGATTAATATTTCAAATGATGAACTGGAACATATCTTAGAGAAATAACATAGGATATCAGTAAGAAGTGCAAAGGGTGCATAGGCAGAAGTAATAAAATATGACTGTAATATGTACATTAATAATCGTAGTACAAGTTGGAGAGTAACATACTGAGCAGCAGATCTGACGAGTAACCACCAAGGCTGTTGGCAGCATCATCCAGTTGTCCAGGTAAGCAAGCATCATTCCTAGATTTTTAAATAAGGTTGTTGTAAGAAAGAAACCCAGGAAACAAATTGTCACCAGGAATCTGATCTGGGATCCCAGCCCTCAGAGAGGATGCCTCGGGG